AAATTCATTAGATAATGTTTTTTTTAGCGTTATGCTCTTATTGATGCAGCTGATCCAAATGATAAACAAATAACAATGTCACAAGTAGCATTAAGATCACGTATTACCATTGATGATCTTAGTAAAATTGGTAAATATACATGTATGGCACAAGATGCAGCTGGAAATAGTGGTTCAGCTATTCTGAGTATGCAAGAAGGCTATAGTCAAGCACCTCCAGTAAGACCAGGTGGTTATCCACATGCGCGTAAGTTTCCAAAAACGAAGAAATTCAAGAATGTTTTCTCTTTTTTTTAAATATATTTTAGCCAGTGGTGGTGGTCATCAATATTTACGTATTATTGCACCTGATATGACTGATGGAGATTATGTAGAAATTCAATGTGAAGGTGCTTCACCAGATGATGAAGGACGTATTCAATGGTTTTTTAATAATCGAGTATATTTTACCTGTTTTTAAATAATAAAAAAAAAACTTTAAACAATATATTCATTTAGCTTCTTAATGATGAACAACCACTTTATCCACGTGGTAAAACTCTTCATATTCGTCCTATTTCACGACCTTATTTGGGAAATTATCGTTGTTCAATTCCGGGTAGTAGTTATGCTGATGGAAATAGTGTTCTTACTTTCGGTGGTAAGATTTAAAAAGTTCAAAAAAAAAATTAATTACAATATTTCTTTAGGTCCAAGTCAACCATCAGAGGGTCCAAGTGGTGGTGGATTTACTGTTACAATTGAAATTGTACAAGGTCAAACAGCTCAAGGACAAGCACAAGAAGGTTCACAAGTTATTCTTCAAGCTATACCTAATGACCAAGTTACTAGTTATCGATGGACATTTACATCAGTAAATAATTTAAAATTAATTTATGACATTTTTTTTAATATTTATTCTATTTTAAGAATCAAGGAACAGTTGATCGAGGTTATTCAGCTCAATTAGTTATTCCTCGAGCTACAGATCAGGATTCAGGTGTATATACATGTGAAGCAATTAGTGCTCGTGGTCAATCAGCACGTGGTTCAATCAATCTTTATGTTACCTGTATGTATTATAAAACAAAAATTTGATTCAATATTTTTTCTATTATATAGCTGGTTATGTACAACCAGCACCATCGCAATGTCGACCTGATGAAGCAACTTGTCGTAATGGTCGATGTATTCCTCGTGCATATCTTTACGATGGTAAAAATGATTGTGGCGATAATAGTGATGAAGCTGGATGTAAGTTTAAATTTGAATGAAGATTCTTATTTTAATAATTTTTTTTTATTTATCAGCTGGTTCAGGTGATCAATGTCAACCAAGTGAACTTCGTTGTACAAATTCTGGTCATGGACGAAAATGTGTACAGAAATTTTGGATGTGTGATGGTGATCGGTAATAAAATTTTACTTTGAAAAAAACAAACAAACTATGTATATGTATTCATTGATTTTAGTGATTGTGATGATGGAAGTGATGAAGATCAACGTTATTGTGGTATGTAGAAAAAAAAGTTTTTTCCTAAGAATAATTCTATTGATATTATTTAAAAGAATTACTTCCTCGTCAACGTTATTGTAAACCAAGTGAATTTCATTGTGGTGGTCCAAATGCTACATCACCAAATCCTGTATGTATTCCAAGATCATTTCAATGTGATGGTTATAATGATTGTCCTGATCGTTCAGATGAAATCGGTTGCGGTAAGTTAAATATATATATCTATGATTATCATATTTGTTTTTTTTTTCAATTTCTATTAAAGTTAAACC